TCTGGTCCACAGATCAAAGAAGTCTTAATTGGGTTCAAATGGTTTTACTACACAACTCTATAAAATCTGATCCACAAATCAAATAAGTCTGAATCCGAACCAAATAAGAAAGATAAAAACAAAAGAACCGAAATCTAAACCAACCCATAGTTTTTTACATTGGCTGCTATTGGCTTAAAACCGAAAACCATGAAAAACCAAAATACACAAACTGAAATCGAACTGCTATGGTGAACGTTTACAAGTTACCTCTTCGCCACGGCCATGGCCGTTTGCTGCAAGGACTAGCTTATTAGCCCAGGGGGAATTTTCGATTTGGGTAACACCAGAATTGTTATGAGGAACAATTGCGTTGTAAGGAGATGATGGCTTAAGGGAGCTTATTTTGCATTCCACAACATGAACACCAATGGAATCAAGAAACAAACCCTCTCTTCCAAGGAACCCAACAACTCTACCCTCGTCGATTTTATGGGTAAACGAAGGTCCTTGTTCTTCTCCAAAAGGTCCATGTTTTCCTCTGTTGGTGTGGAAAGACAGTGACTTTATCACAGTAGGTCCCATGTACATCAACGGTCCATAAGTTCCCGTTACATGAGTTAAAACCTCTGATGGGTGATCAAATACAATCTGCAAATTACGTTTAAACCAAAAAAACAGAGAGATTGTGAGGTACAGAGTGTATTTAGCTAAAACAAACCAGAACGAGGTTTCTACAATATACACACCTTATCATGTCTGAACCCTCCCGTGCCACCATGCTTGCTTCCCCACACAGCTTGTCCTCTAAAATCATAACAGACCTTTATAGACACAATCCCGACATTGCGTGACAAATTGATTTGTCTAATGCCGGTATAAATCCCGTCATCAAACATGATACCACCGGTTCCACCCCATGGTCCATATGTTTTTGTACCACCTTCAGCTTTTGGCTGCAACTTGTCAATATCTGTCCCCAGCTGATAAAAGGAAATTCGACATTATTTTTTTTGTCAAGATAACCTGAATGTTTCTTGAATGTATTAAAAAAAGTTACTGAAATTACCTTATGTTTGGTGATCTCAGCACCTTTGTAATCTTGGGATTCAGAAGAAGGTAAAGGTGATACTTTCTGTTTGAGGGCAACAACTATATCAAAGCTTTGGCCTACACTTCCTTGAATCACTGAGTACTCGAGTTTCTTATCACCATGAGAGATATTTTGATGTGAGTGCAAAAGCATTTTTGACAAGGGATTGTTCTCTTTAGTAATTGGTTGAAGGTGAACACCAATAGCATCCAGGAACCAACCAGTCTTCCCATGGAACCCAATAATCTTCGACTCTGATTTTGGCAATGAGAAGTATGTACCTGACTCAACACCAAACGGTCCATAATTTATGCGGTTACTCTCAAAAGTAAGAGATCGGACACATAGATTTCCCCAGACGTCAAAACTACCATAGGTTCCATGTACTGAAGTTAGATACTCATGTGGGTAATCAAGTTTGACCTGAACAAAACAGAACGATGATCAATTTCTGAAATCTAAGAAGAGGTTTACACTTATAGGAATAAAGTGTCTCTTTGTCTTACCTTATCAAATTTCTTGCCTCCCTTTCCTCCACGTTTTTCAGACCAAACCGAGCTACCGTTCTTGTCATACTCAACTTGGATGGAGTCTATACCAGAACCATGGGCTATAATTATTTGCCTTACTGTGGTGTACATTCCATCATCCCAGGCATGACCACTATGGCCTCCCCATGGGCCAACTGATGCAGGCTTGCCTTCAACACTCTGCAGAAACAACTTCAAGTTAATCTCACAGATTCATAACAGCAATATTAGCTTTTAAGGTTAAACAGAGAAATCTCACAGATTCATAACAGCAAAATTCAATATAGAGAAACTGAAGAATGAAGTTAAACAAAAGATGTTGCCATTACCATCCTCAGATTAAAATGGTCTCTAGAGATCAAAGCAACTGTGAGGAGCTCGAGTAAAGAGATAGTTGACTACTGCAAACATAGCTTAGATATTTGATGGGAATTTATGATGGATGAAAAGGTAACGTTAGTAGTTGGGGATTTTCTGAATATATCAAATCAAGTTGCCGAATACACTATCAAGGGAAGCCATGGAAGGAAAAAAGAATCACAAGCAACTAATTCTGGTTTCCACTATCAAGGGAAGCCATGGAAGGAAAAAAGAATCATATTCTTCAAAGAATCAATCTTTCCCAAGATAACGAAAACACACACTATTGCTTTCCTAAATTGGCCCATGTCACCTGTTCACAGAAAAAAAATAGATTTCACGGTACTATTGGAGTTTAGTGGCATTTAAAACTTCAACTAAATTTACTCAGGCAATGCTAAATCAGTAACCTCTTAATACATTATGTTGTTAACTGGTAAAATGACTGCTCGAAACAAGTTTAGTCATACCTTAGTAGTTGGTAAATCACCCTACCAATAATCTCGACAGGAACAAACTCCATTCTTAAAGTGGTGCAAGCACCTTGTGTCCTCCAACAATATGTCACAGTCGTATCTCTTAGAGATGTATTTTGCAGTATTGTGGCAATCGCGGCACATCCTAAGATTTTTCAAGATCCTTATCGTCTTAGGTGCACGCGATGAGGAAATTAGGCCAAAAGCCATGGCAAACTTTTCGCTGTGGATTCCACAAATTTCTTCCCTTCCTTCTTCCTCAATAAAAAGTTCTCCGTTATATTGGTCACTTCTATCATCCAGCCTACATAACTTCTCCACCCAGGGATACAGGACATCAGTACATAATTTCGACTGATCACCTGTCGTGAATGTGTGAATCAAATTTCTGACTTCAATCCAACTTTGCCCAAGAGGTTTCTTCAGCAAGTTATCTTTCCTCGGCTTCTTTCCTTCTAAAGATCTCCCAAGTTTTGCACCTAATGCATAGATCTGCGAAACCACATTTTCAGTGATTGGATTTTCAGGTTCCAAGGAGAACATGTGCTCTGCTGCATGGATTGCCAAGTCAATGTCACCATGAATCCTGCAGCCAGTTAAGAAGCTTTCCCAGACAGGTGGCTCTGATTGAACATTCATCTCCTGCATAAACTGCACAGCTTCTTCAAGTCTGTTAGATCGTCCGTACAAAGATATCATAGCACAACAATGTTCCAGAGCAGGAATGATATGGTAATCATTCGCTATGCTGGAGAAGACTTTCTTTCCTTCGTCAACATTTCCCGTTAGACCATGTGCAAGGATGATACTCGCAAGAGTTCCCCTATTTGGCTTAATCCCCTGTGTCTTCATTTGATCAAAAAGATCAAGAGCTGGACCATAGCTACCATGTAAAACATAACCTCCAATCAGCGAGTTCCAAGTTATGATGTCTTTGGTTTCCATACCCTTGAATATGGTTATTGCGTATCCAATATCCCCTGACTTGGCATAAGTGTCTGTTAAAGCGTTTTTAACAGCATGAACTGCATCTAGGTTTCTCCGCAATACACAACCGTGTATCTCTCTTACCATTTTGGTCGCAAGAAGATTAGCACAAGCGGGTAAGAGACTTAGAATGGTAACTGAATTTGGCGTGAATCGAGAAAACTGCATTTTCCGAAATAGTTCCAAGGCCTCGTCCTTTTTTCCATTTTGTATGTAGCCCGCAATTATTAGATTCCATGATGCAGTATTCCGCTGAACTTTCCCATCCTTTTCCATCCTCTGAAATAGATCCATAGCCTCAGCCTCGTCTCCATTCTTGATATATCCTGAAATCATCGTGTTCCATGTGATAATATTTGGTTTTACACTTGCCTCTTGCATGCTTGTAAACAATTCATAAGCCTTCCCACAATATTCTGCTTGGCAATACCCTGTTATCATTGAGTTCCAAGTATATAAATCCTTATTTTTCATCGAATCAAAAACTTTTCTTGCATCTTCCAGTTTCCCACACTTTGAATACATATCAACCAGAGAATTTCCCACAAGCACATCATCCATAAAACCCATCTTCACAGCAATAGAGTGAACTTCTGATCCCAGGTTCAAAACTTTTAAACACGAACAAGCAGACACCGCACTCATAATAGTTACTCCATTAGGCACTACAGCCGCTAAAAACATCTTCCTGAACATATCTAATGCCTGAAATCTCTTCCCATTATGAATCAAGCCCGAAATCATAGCTGTCCACGTAAACACGTCAGCAGTTATACCAAAACTCCCCATCTTCTGCATCAAATCCATTGCAGCATCGCATTTTCCAAGCTGGTTATAACCCCCAATCAATATGTTCCAAGTAACTAACCCTGGAGAAATCCCTTCTTTCTCCATCTCTTCGACCAATCCTACAGCTTCTTCATGTTTACCATTTTGGCTGTAAGCTAATAGTACTGAGTTCCAAGCAACCAAATCTCTCTTCTCCATGCGTCTAAAAAATCTCGTAGCTAAACTCAATTCACCACATTTCGCATACACGGCTAAAATCGAGTTGCTAACTCGAAGACAAGAAGTCATCCCGAGTTTAATGACCAGCGAATGAATCAGCTTCCCAGTCTCAACATCTCCACAATTCGCACATCCCTGTAATATCTTAGGGAACAAGAAATCATCAGGCAAAACTCCGTCTTCCATCATCAGACGAAAGAGCTTAGAGACTTCTCTCCACCGATTTTCCCTCGAGTAAGCACCAATCATAGCAGACCATGTGTACAGGTTTCTCTCACGCATTGAATCAAACACCTTACGTGCATCAACAAGACACCCGCATTTCGCATACATACTCAACAGCTTAGTCTCCACAAAGACGTCAGGCTCCGGAAACAGACCGAACCGAGCATGAAGGATACGACCCATATGAATAGAACCAGAATCAATGCACGATTCCAACAATTTGAGGTAAGTGCTTCGTTTTACCGTGGATCCTTGTTGAAACATCGAGTCCAGAGCTTTCTCAGCTTCGAGCAGACTTCCATGTCTACACAAGTAATCCAATTGTTGCTCGTCGGGAATGATAATGGGCTCTCTCTTCTTGATGAAAGATAGATTTTTCCTTCTGGTTTTTGGATTAACTTCAGGCGAATTCTCCACTTTTGCTGGAATCTGATAATTCAAACAAGTTTTGGGGAATGGTGGTATGAAAATCTTCTCCATTATCTTATAATCACTGTTATTCGCTTGAACGGCTCTTTGAGTAATCTTCTTCCTCTTTGGTTTTGTAGAGATTTCACAGATTACAGAGTATGCATGCACAGC